TAGATTTGCTGCCCATGAAAACGTTTCAACAATTTTGATTGAAACTACATGTACTTACTCTTGGGTGGTGTAACGTTAGTATAATCTTGTTAATTATCAAGAAATAATAATGATGCCCGATATTGAGCTATGTCAATTTGAGTATTGTTAAGGCTGTTTAGCGATCTTTCACATTTTGTCCTTTGAAAATGTACGATGTCAGTTACCCCGAAGTTGTTTTTATAAGTAATAAAAGAGCACGGTCACTGAAACATACATGGACGTAACTGGGATTTCTTCAAGATATACATTCCAAACTGTCATTCGTTTTGTGACATAATCTTTGAAACAGTCTGCGTATGAATTAATCACGACCACTTCCGTCAATTTTGTTTTGACGTCAAAAACACGCACAATTTCATCGGGATTTTTTATCGGTAAATATAACTCACGGAAAATTCTCAGTGAATGTGTTCTTCAACATAAATATCATATGTTTATCACTGTTAGGACATGTACTTGCCAATGATATGAATTATTGGTCATTTAGATTTCAAACAAGGGCGCTTACTTGACTTTGCCTGCCATATTCGGGTGCGTCCATATTACGATTAATGTGGAAAATTAGGAAACTTATAATACCAGCACTTTTATCGATGGCTGGGCAGTGCATAGATCTTTTGGATTTGGTGACTTTAGATACTGTTGGAAAGACAATCAACTCGAGTTGCATGTTATACAATTTGGTTACACTGTGTGAAGAAATAAAGACGTTTCAACACTTTTGATACAATGTATACGTTTTTGTAACCGCGACGTCAGCACAGTGCGGCACTGAGCGGTTTGCAGGCTGACTGACGTCCAGGCACCTTGAGGGTAAAGCCCATTTTTGGTATCCCCCCGCCCTGATATTGATGGGATATTGCTGAAAGCGGCGTAAAACCATACTCACTCCTTCATTTTGTAATGTTAACGAATTCTTACCCTACAAACTTTGATACATAGCGAATCTAACACGAGTGTCTTTTGATATCGAACATTTTAGCACGTTGAGTCTTCTACTTTTATCGATGAGTGTTGATATATTATTTTATATCAAATGACTCAAGGGGGGATTCTATCTATAATCCAAACTCATTCTTCTAACTTTTTTTCAGTTTGTAAACAGTAATAACCAGTGTCGTGAGTGCGAAAACTACAGCTAGTCAGCTTCAGTGGCAGAGAGGTTAGTGACGTCATTTGATTCGGACGTTATTTCATAAGATGACGTCACAATGTCCTAAAAAAAAGTGCGGGGTAATTTTCATTGTAGGGATAACTCCAAGGTGATATAACTTGCTATTACCCAAAAGGGTAGAATGATCGTGTGTAATATCTTTACGGTATTTGCACATGTGCATTCTCAATGCTGATTGGTCAGTTGAAGCATGGATTAAGTGTCCATGGTTGAAGCTAACAGGGCTTCATTGTTGAGCAGAATACAATATGACGGTATCGATTGTATCGATGGAGGTGGCTGACATTTTATTGAAATAAATAATTTTGCTTATTGTGGAAGCCAGCTTTGGATGATAATGTAAGAGCAAAATTGCAGTTAAAATTATGCGAATCTATCCAGCGATGACACCAGATAACACAGAAGTGAGTGAGTATGGCTTTACGCCGCTTTTAGCAATATTCCAGCAATATCACGGCGGGGGACACCAGAAATGGGCTTCACACATTGTACCCTTGTCGGGAATCGAAACGGGGCTTCAGCGGGACGAACGAACGCTTTAACCACTACATGGTTCCCACTGCCACTGGAAAACCTGGAAAACCTGGAAATGTGTTGGAAAAATTTCCAGTCAGGGAAATATCAGGGAATTCACTAAAAACTTCAAAATCAGGGATTTATCAGGGATTTTTTGCTCTTGGAACTCATACTCTCTATTATTTAATGGTTGTGGCAGCCACTCAAATTTAAGCAATGGAGTTTATCCGTTTGAAAAAGAGGTATTTGTCAAATTTTACTATATCAAGGTCAAGGTCAATGTGGCTGATAGGGATTTGCGCCCCTTACCTCAGAGCTAACTAAATTCTAAATTTAAAATATTTTGAGTAAAATATTACATTGCCTTGGTATTAGTTTACCATTTGAATTTCAGAAATCAATTTGAATGTAAAATTTCAAATCTCATAAAGTTCTACTGTTCAAGAACAAACAAAATAATGCAATTAGGATTCTATAAAGCTCTTTGTTAATGAAAAGTGTATCAGTGTTAGATAAATCATTGGAAAAACTTAGGGTGACTTCAGTTGTTATTATAATTATCTATTCCCTGGTGACCTTTTATAAGTGCAGATGTATATTTGAATGGTTAGTTTGTGAAATGCTGTGCATGAATGTTGCACTGAAAGTAGTGATGGTATTTACTTTATTATAATGTTACTAATTAGTTCAAGTTCATGTTTCTAAAGTTGTGACATCCTAGTCCTGAAGTCCATTTTCAAAAATTGTAATACTTGTTTTGCTTAGGCAATGATTGATGGAGTTAATTTGTAGTTTGAACTCTTTAAATGGTGGCAGATGGATGGCCTTAAGGGGAGGATAATTACTTGGTGACTTAGTTTTCCTTAAACCAAACATAACACACTTTTGTACAGAAATTTCTAAAAAAAAGACGTTTCCATTGGTCTATTTTAAAGCTGTTTATATAATAAAGTTAAAACACCACTCCCAGTTGTTATAATGGAGGCCGTGTAATGCAGTCTGGAAAAGTTCTAAGTTCTCTGGAAATATCAGGGAAATGTCAGGAAATTTTTCGGAAGAAAAAAAGTGGGAACCATGCACTAGGCTACCCGACCGCCCCAACACCGAAGTTATACCTTTGATCACTGTTGATCCAAGCTAAAATCCCTCCCGAATGTTATAAGGGAACTAGAACAATTAATTGCAAACAAAGAAAACATTCATTCGCAGTTTGAAACAAGAAAATATATTGAGAGTATGAAAACCTAAATTCCAAAGCGAGGAAAGATGTATGTCGAAAATTGATTTGTACCAGACACGATTTGATATTTTTTAAAAACCCGGACGGAAGTAACAGTGAGGCCGCCTGTCCAAAGCAGTTTTGCATGCTTCCTGAAAAACAAAGACTGCAGTGTAATCATCCTTCCTTCAAAGATCACAGGGATGTGATATAGTCTAGTAAAACGTTCAAAATAATTACTAACGAATATACCTATATACGCATGAAAAAAAATATACATGAAATTTTTAAAGGCTCGGTCAGTGGTTTTTGTTGTTAATAGACGTTAAAAGATGGTACTTCTTGTTACCCTGTCTGGCGTTCGGCATTAAGGGGCTTTTTGGTATTCATGTTAAACTGCGGCATGGTATCTCAGTAGGTTAGCATTATAAATCGGCATCACTCCGAACTTGTACAAGCCCGCACACACAATCAATAACCTTGGACGCGACGGTAAACCTCATTTCACCTCACCTCAATTATATCGTGGTGCGATATTTCATGAGAAAAAATTAAACATTGACCTGAAACCTATATATACCGGACGCCTAATTAATGGACCAAAGTGTCCGCAAACTGTATTATCCAGTGTATTATGTCGTCACTCTATCATGATGACAACCCTGGACCCATTCGCCACCATGGCTTCGTTTTGGAAGTGACGTCACCTGGCTCTTATCACTAATTAATACAAAATATTTCTCCTTCATGAGCATAAGGCCCTTGAAGACCCGGTGTACAATAGGTCTTCAGCAACCCATGCTTGCCGTAAAAGGTGACTATGCTTGTCGTAAGAAGCGACTAACCGGATCGGGTGGTCAGGCTCGCTGACTTGGTTGATGCATGTCATCGGTCCCAATTGCGTGGATCGATGCTCATGATGTCAATCACTGGATTGTCTGGTCCAGACTCAATTATTTACAGACCGCCGTCAAATAGCTGGAATTTTGCTAAGTGCGGCGTTAAACAACAAACAAACAAAATCATCAGCATAAAATCACCAACCAATGAAACTGCCTCTTCTGAAAGCCACACATCCTCGATTAACCAGTGGGTTGTATCGCCATTCAATTATATTCGATCACAAGGGAGAGACATGATATACTGGGTAATCGAGGATAGCCTGTCCCTGTTCACAGATCTTATAGATCTTAGTAATCATTGATGGTACCCATAAGCGTTAAGCACCGTTTCCATAATACAATATCTCTCCCAGTCCCTTTACTCTATTGAGTGAGTGAGTGAGTTGGATTTAAGGACGCTTTGAACAGTATTCCAGTTATATCACGGCGTGTCAGCTTAATGGAGGGGGAAGCCCCAAGTGATGCAGGTCTCAGACGTTCACCTCTTTGTTGAAACCCACGAGCACGGGTATGGTGCTGGCAAACCTTGAAACAATCGGGGCGAACCTGAAATTCAAACCCACGATCATAGGTTTCTGGCGTGCCCAAGGGACGCAACTCTGCACAGCGAATTGCGGCGTCTGAGACGACTGACATCATACGCTGGACTTGGACACTTTGCTCTGGGGCATATGTCATTCTTATTCTAATGACACGGTCATTTCAGTACTTGTTCGAGTACGTTCACTAAACATTGTTTTGTTGGTTGTTTAACACCACACACCACAGTTATATTTCAGCTATATGATAAGTCTGTAAAGAATCGAATCTGGACCAGACAATCCAGTGTTTTACATCGTAAGCATAGATCTTCGCAACCAGGATACGCTCTACCAAGTCAGCCGACCCCCCGATCCCGTTGGTCTCCTCTAACGACAAGTCTGGGTTCAACAAGTTCAACAAGTTTGGGGAACTGCAGACATGTTGAGTTACAGTGGTGGACAGTGTAGTCCATATTACATCCTCTACTGATGCGCCCCAGTTTCGTTGACCCAGTTTGCCCATGACTCATTTTCTCCAAAATTGTTCATTGTGTAAAATCCATGTTAAAATAGAAAGGAATCATTTCCTTCCGTAAAATGACGATGTCATGTACACGTGGTTGTGGACTGATGGTCACGTGCAGGCGGACTTTCCCGACCCTGGGGTTATATAACTTCTGCTTGCCGCTATGTTCCATCCTGTTTGAACCTGGTTCATCGCCAAGACCACCTGCCTTCCACGAGTCTATCAGCACCGTCTTCTGCAGGTCTGTTTTATTCAGGATTCAAACTAGCAATCATCAATTTTGACCAAGGAGGGAAAAGTGTTCCTAGAGAAACAACTGGTCCTACATCCCTCCGGTGGCCTGAACCTTGACTTCAGTCTGAAACAACGGTCTTGAAGGTGATCAGTTGCAATGGGGACTTCTCAGGAAGAGGTGGAGATGAGCCTCAGTAGTGCGGCATTACTGGAGGAGTCAAGTAATCTTGCCTCCGATGGGTAAGTCTCGCATACACCCCCATGTATATTTCACATAGAAGGCTTTTTTCTATAAGGTCTTGGCTCAAAGTCAGTATATTGTGTCCGAGAGGTATAACCATGTTAAACTGCGGCATGGTATCTCAGTGTTTGTTGTTTAACGCCGCACTCAGCAATATTCCAGCTATATGATGGCGGTCTGTAAATAATCGAGTATGGACCAGACACTCAAGATATTGACAACATGAGCATCGATCAACGCAATTGGGATGCGATGACATGCATCAACCAAGTCAGCGAGCCTGACCATCCGATCTCGGTATAGTCGCCTCTTACAACAAGCATAGTCGCCTTTTACGGCAAGCATGGGTTGCTGAAGACCTATTCTACCCCGGATCTCCACGGGCCGTATCTCAGTGAGCTAGCAATATAAACCGGCGTTAGTCCGGACAAGTTCAAGCAGCCACACGCACACAAACACACAAGTACATGCACATCGCTATATACGGGCTATAATCCTGAACATAATGTTAAACCCATTCATCTCACCTACCAAACACACGGAATCCTTCTTCGTAAGATGTCTCTCTGTATATAACGGCTTTTGAAATGGTCGTGTAAGTATTGATAAACAAAATCACAAAAAGAGGCAAAACGTCAAAGCTGAAACACTTATTTGATATTTGATTGGTTGGGTGACGGGAATGCAAAAACCGGGATGTTATCAACGCTGATGTTCTAAAAATATAATAAAAGTCTGAATTAAACTTGGCATTCGCTGTGAGCGTTCATGCAGAGATCATTTCAATATATACCTTATATGTATCTGCCGTGAAGTCAAGTTCCAGTTTATGTATATATTTCCAAGAAAAAGGTGCCACTGACCTCGACACAGGAAACGTAAAGGCCTCTTCGAATTACAGGATTGATGTCACTTCCGGTAGTCAATAGACTGTGAATCAGAATCCGGAAATAAGCTGCTAACCTAGATATGATTTGTTTGTTTGTTTGTTGTTTAACGCCGCACTCAGGAATATTCCAGCTATATGACGGCAGTCAGTAAATAATCGAGTCTGGACCAGACAATCCAGTGATTAATATAATGAGCATCGATCCACGCAATTGGGACCGATGACATGCATCAACCAAGTCAGCGAGCCTGACCACCCGATCCGGTTAGTCGCCTCTTACAACAAGCATAGGGTTGCTGAAGACCTATTCTACCCCGGATCTTCACGGGCCACGTAGATATGAACTTACATGTGGTCTGTGTGGGCGTATGTTTACCTCCACTGGAAGCACGTCTTCGGTTTTACCAAAACTCGTGGCACGATAGATATACAATGTAGAAGATATGATTTGGGTTACACATCGAAGTGATGCAAATTTTTGGTCTAAGACGTTTACCACTTTGGTGAAACCCACTAGCACAGGTATGGTAATGACACACCTAGAAACATTATCAAGCCAAATTTGGATTCGAACCAACGATCATAGGTTTCTGGTACGACTAAGGGACGCAACTCTGCACAGCAAATCATTGCGCATTAGACGACTGGGCCATCCATGTCCCCCTTTCTACTGCATTTATAACATAAAGTAAACTTATGATTTTAAGATGGGATTGACCTTATTCCTTTGTTTCTGGGGTGGTAGGGTAGCCGAGTGGTTAAAGCTTTCAAGCTTTCCCTCGTTACGCCGAAGACCCGGGTTCGATTCCTTACATGGGTACAATGTGTGCTCGTGGGTTTCACTAAAGTGAAAAAGTCGGAGACCTACATCACTTCACTAGCGTTGAACCCCTGGCCAGCTAACGCACTCACCTCTCAACTATAACACCCTATCAATAAAACCTTTTCTACGCAGGACCCCGGATGGAGAAGAGCGACCCGTTACTCCCCATGACGCTACTCCGGGGTTTGACGAGCCGGACGGAAGCCGGGTGAGTTCAGTACATATACTCAGAGTCATATGTAAAGCAACTAGGCCTAAAAATTTCTTTTTGCAAACATATGTATCAGGTGAATCTATGCTCAATGTTTCCCATCTTCCCGAGGCAAGAGAGTTAACTGACTTTAAAAGTCCAGTGTCCACCCTTGCCGAACTAGGCTGGAATTCCTGGGCTCGATCGTAGCGCCACCAGTGGCTATTACGGGTTATGTCCTTTCTATGCCTCTCCTATTGACCAATCAGATTCCACCTCTCGTATCCCTTGCATTTGTTTCAAACAAAACGGTGGCGCCCAGCCAAGACGATCTGATCGATAATCAAGATCTATATTGTGATAAACCGAGTCTTACATCGCGAAGTACATCAAATCACGTGAGCACCTTGATTAAAAACATGAAAAGATTTGGAAAATATCTGTTGACAACTAGTTAGCGGTGCACATGCTTTGCAAATCCTGCAGTCGACCGAAATCTGCATGACACTCTACGAACCGGATTTCGATTTCAGTGCGCGATTTTGATTGGACTATGCATAGACTCGTTAATACCATAATACTCCATAATACCAGACTAGTTCGGCAAGGGTGGAAATTGGACTTCTATAGTCAGTTAACTCACTTGCCTCGGGAAGATGAATGTTTCCATGAGTTGTTGGTTCGAATCCCGGTTCGCGCCTCATATGCAAACATATGTATCAGGTAAATCTATGCTCAATGTTTCCATGAGTTGAAATTTCACACTAAGGGTACAGCGTTAGTTTTAAATAATAGGACTGCGCAGAAGCGGCAGTTGTACAGACGTTATCCGAACACGGTGGGGCATGTCCCACTTTGGACATTCCGGAAACGGGCTTTTCCGAACCAACGGGTTGACGGGGTATAAAGTAGACGAGGAAAACGCAACCAGCATCTAGCATATATCCCATACACCTTTGCTGAGCGCGGCGTAAAACAACAAACATACACTTTTCTTACGGAGAATCATTTAATTTTTTAGCGCAAAAACAATCGTCGTTCATCTTAATATCGGTATAAGCAAGTCATTTCTAATCCGAGTTGTGTGTTATATTGCAGGGTGTTAAATCGGATGCAGTAAACGAGTTTGGTGTACGGAGGACAACTGTCCAGTGTATGCTGGACCTGGCTCTGGTGGCTGCCAATTTTTCCCAGCTGAGGGTCATTCTGTCTGTTGGACCAAGCCGTCTGGAGTTTTACTCTTTGGTGCTGTGGTCGGTGTCTCTCTCTCTTTTCTTTCAGTTTGTATTTGCTGTCATTATTATTGCTATCAAGATCCGGGAAGATCGAATTAACCCAGTGTCACGTGATCCGGAAGTGCAACCTGTGTCGACGCGACCGACACGAGACGGGGTGCTTGACATTTTGAATTATGTCTCAATGGCGCTTGTTTTGATTGTGACTCTTTTAAACATGTTTATCGGTGGGTTCGTCAATGTGAAAAACACATCACATGTGAACGACAGTGTTGAAATCCCCTCGATGTCTTAGTAGCAGGGACCGCCTCCGTGGTCTTGTGGTAGAGCGTCCGCCCGGAGAGCGGAAGGTCCGGGGTTCGATCCCCGGCCGCGTCATACCAAAAGACGTTAAAAGATGGTACTTGTTGTTACCCTGTCTGGCGCTCGGCATTAAGGGGCTAAAACAAGGACGTGTCGGCTCGGAGTCAGTATACTGTGTCTGAGTGGGGTATTCATGTTAAACTGCGGCATGGTATCTCAGTGAGCTAGCACTATAAATCGGCATCAGTCCGGACTAGTACAAGCAGCCACACAAACACACACACGTCGCTATATAAGTGCAATAATCTTGGACGCGACGTTAAACCCAATTTCACCTCACCTCACCTTAGTAGCAGGGCGTGGAGTCGTCCCACAGATGACATCCCTTACCTTGTCAGCTTGCTGACGTGGTTAACCTCTTTGGTCATGTGGACAAGGCGTCCGACCTCTGATCAGAAGGTCCGTGGTTCGAATCCCATCACGGGACTCGGAAATTTTATGGCCGCTACATCTTGATCAGGCTGTCCTTCAGAAAAGGAAAAAGATCAACCCAGATCTTCACGAGGGCGTGGTAAATTGACACTATGCCCGTTTCCGCTTTGGCGGAACCCAGTCACAAAAATGGCCAAGATAGGGGCACAAGCATTCGTGACCAATTCGTGTTATTCCGGGACAAGCCGAATAGCGATTCGGCTTGTCCCGGAATAACACGAGTTGGTCACGAATGACGGAAAGATGCGAGTGGTGGGACGAGGCGTCAGTAAAATATTTCATTATGGCTGTCGCTAACATTTAACTACATGAAGCGGTAGTGAAATATGAATTCGTATTACGTGTATTATACAGAGACAGAAATGAGCATCAGGTCCATAGCTGCGTGCCTGTTAACACAGTGTCGGAGGTATTCTGAGTGCTATTGTATAGCTTTTCAAACTACAGGTCCGTTTGGCTCCAAATGAGTACAGGGAATTGCAAAATAATGCAAAATCTGGAATACACTGTTAAATGTCAACGAGGCAATGAAAACCCTGAACCCAACAATATCTGCTGTTTGTTATTTTCATTCCCATCACTGGTAAAGGTTGAAAAAGAAAGTATCATGCTGTTAAATGTACAAGTTGACATCGTGAACGGAGGGGACACGGCGATAGGAGGAACAGCGAAATCACGCACTGCCATGGGCGGATACAGATCCCCCCCCCCCCCCTTTTATTTCGAAAAAAATCTTTATTTCTGTATAAATTACCACCAAAGACAATAAATGGTCTTAATTGTGCAACCCCCCCCCCCCCCCCTTTTCAAAAGAGGCTGTATCCGCCCATGCGTAGCATACCTCGTTGTTGACTGACAATGTGCGCTTCTCAGCTGATGTGAAACAGTTGATTTTTAAGGTGTATGATTTCATATTGGAAAATCATTTTATGTCATGTGTCATGGTTTGTGGTATACGTTCTTTTCTCTATATCAGCACGCTGGATAAATCAGAAGAGTGCATGCATGACTCGATTAAAATGTTGGGTAGTATGTGATGTAATTATTCTGTTAAATAAATTGAAATATTCATAGTGAGTGAATTGGGTTTAACGACGCTTCGAACAGTATTCCAGTTATATGCAAGTCAGCTTAATGTAGGAGTGAGTGAGTGAGTTGGGTTTAACGCCGCTTTTAACAGTATTCCAGTTATATCACGGCGTGTCAGCTTAATGTGGGAGGAAAGCCCCAAGTGATGCAGGTCTCAGACGTTTATCACTTCGGTGAAACCTAGGAGCATGTGTATGGTGCTGACAAACCTAGAAACATAATCGGGGCGAACCGGGATTCGAACCCACAATCATAGGTTTCTGGCGTGCCCAAGGGACGCAACTCTGCACAGCGAATTGCGGCGCCTAAGATGAGTGGGCACATATGGTTTGGGCATGTCATTCATTTCACATGCAGTGTTATATACCCACATACGTGTTTCGGGGGTCTGTCGGGTAGCCTAGTGGTTAAAGCGTTCGCTCGTCACGCCAAAGACCCGGGTTCGATTCCCGACATGGGTACAATGTGTGAAGCCCATTTCTGGTGTCCACCGCCGTGATATTGCTGGAATATTACTAAAAGCGGCCTAAAACCATACTCACTCACTCGTGTTTCGGGAAATGATAATTACCCATTATTCCACAATAACGGGAATTCCAATAACCCATTACAAAGACCATATTGGTATGCGGTATCTTGTCATTGAAAACTTCAGGATGCTGTGGGCGTTACAAAATTTCCCGAGTCACAATATCCAACGTTCTACTCCATCTTAACGCACGTTGGGGTTTGTAGTGCAACACATTCAGTTGTGTAGGGACTCTTAACAAAACAGTACCACATGAAAACAAGACCTAAAAGCCTTCATGTCTAGCACATTAGGCAAGAAAACAAACACAGGTTTCAAATTGCCCGCCATCTTGTCCAGGCTTCATGTTAAACACCTTTTACAATCGGTGCCACTTCGCAGCAGGATGCGTCCCTGACTGACGCTTCCCCACCCGGACACTCACAATCCCGACCCCCAAGGGATCCCCCGTGTCAGGACTGACTCCACAATGCGTATTTATAACACCCCGGTCTTTGTCTCCACCTTGGTGTTGTAAAACCTACACGTCTGCTTGCCAACAAATTCGCATTGTTGTCCGCCATGTCATCGCCCGGCCTTGAGGTGGCATCTCCTTTGGAATTACGGGATGATGGCAAATCTGCTTCATTTCGTTGAATTATTGTATGCAGATACGTCTCGGGCTACTTTGTTTGGTCCAGATACAAAGTGTCAGGCGTTCTTCACACCAGCTAGATAACTCACGTTAATCCTTCCGGTGCTCATGTACAGAAGGCGCCGTTTTACTATTTTACTATTTTTTTACTATTTAATATCAATAATTCCATTTACTGATACCACAAATTCGATTTTGCAAAATGACTAAAACCGATGTATTTTGATATATCACTAGATCGAATTATTGATATCACAAATTCTCAATATATCATTGATATCAGAATATCGAATGGTATCAATAATTTACGTCTGGGTTCATGAAACAAATTCTCCCTTAAACTCAAACCGCAGTAAATAATTAATTCACTTGTCACAAATTCTCTCTGTTACACTTACAATTAATATATTTGGGGATGGTGAATTATTACAATTACGTTTAGCGACTTAATGTTATTTAATTAAGCCTACTATGACATTCTGATAGTAAATATAACTCCTTCTAAGCAACCTATAAATCGAATTTGTGATGTCAATCATTTATTATATCTAAAACAACTCACTTTTTATATCAATAATTCATTTCATGATATCTGAAAATCGATTTCTTTATATCAATAAATCAAATCATGATATGTCAATTTCGATTTTGTGACATCAATAATTATTTGTGATAACTAAAACTCGAATTCTTGATATCTTAAATTCGAATTTGTGGTCAAATAACAAAAAAAACATGTTAAGTATGAGCGCTCCTGTCGCGTGAGCGAATTTTGTTTAACACCACGCAATTTCACATGATAATATCGGCATGGACACAATCGAGTTATTATTTCAACAAAGTGACATCAGAGAACGAGAGTTGCTGATTTGGTAAAACATGGACAATAACATAACCTATGACCGCCTAAAATTGTTCTGATAAAGAACTCAAATTAACCACGAGAACACTGCGTCAGTCGTACCAGCACGTGCAATAGGTTTCCCCAGCCTTTTGCACGTGCACCTCGCTCTTTGGCGATTTGGTTTTAAAATGCATGTTCTGGGGCCAGTACACGATTCCGACGAGACCAACACGGGCATATTTATCCATCACAATTATATTGCCTGGCCATATTGAGAGACCGTATTATGCGAAAACATCGTCAAGGACAACATTATTTTGTCTCTGATCATTTCCTTAATTTGACTATTAAAAACCTCCCGAACACTCATTCATGTACATTCAAAGATAGCTCAGTACACCGAAAAAAGCTCAAACTTTCCCTCATGCACTTACCCCTATGCAATATTGATGGTAACATTTTGCCATTAATTAACACACATTTCTCGATCCGCAGGGAAGGAGGTTATATATTCGTTAGCCTCAGAAAAGGTCGGCTTCGAATCCCACAGTTTTTCGATTTATATCTAAATGACAGAATAGATAATGACCAACATTATCAACCCGTTATACTAACAACTTACGTTATATAATATATAGCCCGGGTATATACACTTTTTCACACGGACATTTTCAGGCCAACTCGCAATGATAAGAATGCCGTGTGAAGGACGTCACCTCCTTCGATCTTTTCGTCACCACTCGCCCCTTTCCGAAATCTGCAAGAACACATTCGTCACCACTCGCCCTTTTCTGTAACACATGAAAAGACATTCGTCAGCACTCGCCCCTTTCCGCATTCCATGAGAAGACATTCGTCAGCACTCGCCCCTTTCCGCATTCAAAAAGAAGGCATTCGTCACCACTCGACCCTTTCCGCGTTAAAGTGCCTCGCGGGTCATGCAAAAAATCCCACCACCCCAAAAATATAGCATTCACCCTATATAAAGCAAAGCTTGATGTTCTGAGAAACAATTTGTTCTGGGTTCTGAAAACTGTTGAGTTCTTACTTTCTGAGAAAAAAATAACCTCATTTTCAAACTCTTAATTTTTTTCTTATTGCCGTTCATTTTGTGAGCCTATGTTCCATTAACGTTATAACTTCCAGGCGAAACAGAACACCGACAAGGGTCAGTCTGTCCATCTCTCTCTTTACCAGAGTCCTTGCAGCCAGCATGTGGTAGCCATCCCCTCCCACATCCGGGCAGTTACCTCATCGTGACAGTGTCCAGTGCAATCCACATGCAACTGGACGTGTCAAGTGTCTACGGGGTAATCATATCCACCAACAACACCCACTTGTGTCAATGTTATGCCTTGACATGATAGGGACTTGTACATAACAACCCGACCACATCGATGTATGGTCGAGGCTATTAGACGGCTGGCTAATTGACATGTAATTACTCTCGTAGATATCTCTTGGAGGGTGTGTGTTTCAAAGCATCCCTCTCACGTGGGATTAATTGCCGTGGCGGTGAATACCACTGCACTTGT